TCGAAATACACTCGTATGTGCGTAAAAACACAATGTCGGCGAAAAAATGGAAAATATACTCAAGCACACGTAATAGCGTTAAAAAATGTTTTTTATGTTTTGTTTTTTTTTAAAAATAAAAATATGAATATATAAGTATATTAAAATTGTCGTTCTTTTTAAAAAAATTATATATCGTAAAAAGAAAGATCGAGATAATATAAGATGTCGAGTAGTGCCTTACGTGCAGTAGTCGTTTAAATGTTCTGGAAATCTTACTCTTCTTCCAGAACGCGTTGTTTTAGGCTTATTTTGAGATACATTCGGAGTATCATCGCTAGTGTTGGTTGTCGGTTGAGGAATTATGAGTGTAGGAGTCGCGTTGTGCGATTGTACCGAAGGAAAATCCACGTAGATAGGATTTCCTTCTAAATACGCTGCTTTTAAGCGATCGATGCTGATGCTATCGTTGGTTCCGTTCTTATCGACTATATAGTACTTAGATTCACGTTGAAGAACTTTGAAGGGTCCTTCGTATGCTGATTCGAATGGTCGTCGATGCGAGTCTGGACGAACGAAAACGTGTGTACTATATCGTAAGTCAGGTTGAACGAAAACATCAGTTGATTGAGGTCGAGTGGAAGCAGGTTTAACTGAACGCATTGCGTTTGTAAGCCTGTTCGTGTAGGAGGTTAGATCCATGTTCATTGAAGAGGATGAAGGATCCACGAATTCTCCTGGAAGTCGAAGTGTCGTTCCATAAACGAGTTGAGCCGCAGTGTATCCAATGTCAGCTTTCACTGCATTGCGGATACCTAGTAGGACGAGTGGAAGAGCGTCGGTCCACTGTGAAACATTTGCAGCTGATAGTGAAGCTTTTAGTTGTCAGTGAAAGCGTTCTACCAACCCGTTTGCCTGTGGATGGTAGGCGGTCGTTCGGAAGCGAGTGATTCCTAAAAGTGTGGTCAGACGACGGAAAAGATCAGATTCAAACTGACGTCCGCGGTCTGTAGTGATGGTTGAAGGGCAGCCGAAGTTTGCTACCCATCGCTCGACGAAGGCGCGAGCCACTGTTTCAGCAGTGATGTCCTTGATAGGTACTGCTTCTGGCCATCGAGTGAAACGGTCTACGCAGGTTAAGAGATAAGAGTATCCATTTGAATCTGGTAAAGGTCCTACCAAATCCAGATGAACATGGTCGAAACGAGCATCGGGAGTTTTAAATGAGCCTAAGGGACATTTATTGTGTCTGATAACCTTAGATTTTTGGCAGCTTACACAGGAGCGTGCCCACTCCCTCACGTCTTTATTCATGCCAGGTCAGCAAAACCGTTCTGCTATAAGCTTGATGGTTGCACGGACACCTGGATGAGAAAGTTTGTGCAATGTATTGAAGACATTGCGTCGATAATGTTTCGGAACGATTGGGCGATCCCTACCTGTAGATGTGTCACAAAGTAAGGTTTCCTTACCTGTTCCCATCTGTTTGATGCGTAGTTTAAGTGTTGTGGACGATAACTCGTGCTGAAGATCAGTGTCTTCTTTTTGAAACTCGGCGAGTTTAAGAAGGTCGATTCCTTGGAAATTGTTCCAGGAAGTTATGCGAGATAAGGCGTCTGCAACTACATTTTTTGCTCCCGAGATGTGTTGAATATCTGAAGTAAACTGCGAAATGTAGTCCAGTTGTCGAGACTCACGGGGAGAGTACTTGTCTGTAGGCGAGCTTAACGAGAAAGTGAGCGATTTATGGTCCGTGAAAAGAGTGAATTCACGGCCTTCGATATAGTGTTGAAAATGCCGTACAGCACAATACATAGCTAGGAGTTCCCTACCGAATGTGCTGTACCTCGATTCGGTGTCTAGCAACCTTCTAGAGAAAAATGCCAAGGGTTGCCAGGAGTTGTTAACCCATTGTTGTAAGACTCCTCCGATTGCTGAGTCGGATGCTTCTACTGCGATGCTAATGGGTGCTTCGGTGTCCTGATGTGCGAGGATTGTTGCTTTAGCAATCAGTTCCTTAACTGTGGAGAATGCTTTTCGTGCGGTGTCGTCCAAATTAATGGATTTCGCATTTCCACGAAGTTGGTCGGTTAGAGGTTTCATGAGTAATGCGCATTTGGGTATGAAACGTCTATAGAAACTTACGAGGCCGTTAAACGTGCGTAATTGCTTGACGGTGGTCGGTTCTGGGTAATCCAGAATGGCCGCCACTTTGGTTCTAAGGGGTCGGATACCTTGAGCATCGATAGTGTGTCCTAGGAAGTCTAACGAGTCGGTTCCGAATTGGCATTTCTGAACGTTTACAGTAATGCCATGTTTTTGTAATCGTTCGAAAACAAGATCCAGATGCTTGAGATGTGTTTCTCTGTCCGGACTTGCGATTAGGCAGTCATCAACATACGCATGTACGAAGTTGAGACCTCGAAAAACGTCGTCTATGAATCTTTGGAATGTTTGAGCAGCATTTCTTAGACCGAAAGGCATTCGCAAAAATTCATAGAGTCCGAAGGGAGTTATGATAGCTGTTTTCGGTATGTCGTCAGTAGCCATAGGGATTTGGTTATACGCTTTAACCAAGTCGATTTTCGAAAAGACAGTTGTACCTTTCAAGGTAGCTGTTAAATCGTGAATGTGAGGCAACGGGTAACGATCGGGAGTGGTTTTCGCGTTCAATCGCCGATAGTCACCAGTTGGACGCCAATCGTTGCTGTCCTTTTTAGGGACCATGTGCAACGGAGATGCATATGGGCTACTTGACGGTCGTATGATCCCTAAGTCTATCATGTGATCGAATTCGTTTTCCGCTAACCTTAGCTTTTCGGGAGCTAGTCATCGTGCTTTAGAAAATACAGGTGGTCCTGTAGTCGTGATGTGATGTGTAACGTTGCTGGTTACACACGGTAATCTCGGTTGCGTTTGTTGTATCTCAGGATACTTATCGAGAAGTGGCTGATAGATTGGGTCTATCATATGTTTAATTGTGATTGGGGATAATTTGCAACCAGTAAAAGAAGTTACGCAAACGGATAAATTAGTGTTTCCGTCTACTAGCCTCCGTTTGCGCGTGTCGATGATCAGATTATGGTGTTATAGAAGATCCATACCAATGATTGGCATAGAAACATCTGCAACAACGAAGATCCAGTGAATGGGTTTGCGTAAACCCACGTTAAGGTAAACGTACCTTTTGCCATACGTAGCGATCGGTTTTCCGTTTGCCGCCTGTAAGTTTAGGGTCGATTCGTGAAGTCGGTCGTTAGGATTTGCTGGGAGAACGCTAACTTCTGAGCCAGTGTCGACGAGGTAGCGAACTCTCGTTGTCACGTCTGTGACGTATAACAGACGGCTATGTTCGCCGGCTACGGTTGCCGTTAACGCGTGCCGGCTTGGAAGTTTCCCGAGTTGTTTTTCGAGTCACTAGGTTTCGTGTTGGGAAAATTGCAGGGTTTTCTACAATTTCTGGAAAACTTTCCATACTGGTTATGATAACAGCACCAGTCGGGGTTATCTGTCTCTCGTGGTCTAGAGACAGATCGCTTACGTGAAATGCTTCTACGTGGGGTGCGCAATCTCTTGCGGTCAGTACGAAGACTAAGATAACGCGTGAGTGTATGACATAACTTGGTTATATCATTCTGAGTCGTTTGAGGTTTTTCTTTGACTGAAAATACCTCGGTAGTAGGTTTCGTAATTTCTAAAATACGGTCGGCAGATGCAGCTAGCTCGTCTAAGGCGTTGTTCTGGAACGAGACCAGAACTGCTTGCACCTGTTGGGGAAGTATATACATATTCAAGAAAAAACACGAAAAAAATCACAATATTTAAAAAAAATAAAAAAATAAGCCAATGATATATAAAAATCCCAAAAAGGAACAGACTCACAGTTGCAATTAGGTGTACCAGATCACGTCGGTCTCACCAATGATGATGTCACAGGTACTCAGTGTTTGACAACGCTTCTACCAGTAACACCTTCTAATATATTTCGTTCTTACCCAGAGAAATCAAAAGACAGAGTCGAGGAGATCGGAAGAGTGTATTTGGCGACCACCAATATATCGGAATTCTCTGATTTAATCTGGCTAGCGATTGCGGTTGATGTTGAGCACGGCGTTACCACACGTGATCTGGTGCGGATGCCTGACCGAGCGCCTTCAGCTAGATGAGTCCACTAAAACATATGGTCAGCATCCAATGTCGAAAACTTAGAGCTATTTATTTTGGGGATTTATTTACCGCTACAAACAAAATAGGTTCATGTTAATTATCTCCACAACCCATTGTTTGGGAACTGTCACACTCACACAAAACCAAAGTATTGAAAACGTGGACAGTATAAATCCTTATCTATCCGAAGTGTAATATAGTGCTGAATAACCTCAACTCCAATGTTCTTTCTTTTACCTAGGTACCTATATAACAAAACCGTTGGTTCATGATTATCAGGAAGGGAAGACAATTGTCCAGATACTACCATTATTTTATCAACAGCTACTTTAAAAATTTACTACACTTGGATGCAGACAGACAATAATGTAGTTTGCTTACTCTGTCTTCTGGTGCTGGAGCTCAGCCCGCCATTTACAAGTTGATAAGACACTAAGGATGATCTCAGAGGTTTTGTTTGATAATAGTTTTGCAGATCGTTTGCTCTCTGTAGATGAGTTCCATTGTGGAGTAATGATAGGCGGAGTGAGTTCGTTTCATTTATTCCTCATTTAGTAGCGGTTCGGTTCCCAGGAGTGCTTGTTCTTACCCATTGACATTCCAAAAGATGACACTTCAGGCGATCCACCCCATCGATCTGTTTCGCCTCGTATGATTGAGGATTTAAGCGAAAAATGGATTGCGTCACATTGTAGAAATCTTGCGCGGATGATTCCAGGGGGTGTTCATATAAGTGGGATTTGTCTGACTGTCCCATATGGCGAATTCAACGGTCATACTAATCATATTCAGAAAGTAATAAGCTCTTAACTAACTGTCAGATCCTCTCTCATATATCGCGGGATGACACACCCATGAACAGGTTTATTTGTTCAAAAAGTACAGAAAAATTAGTGTTGGTGGCTGACCCCAAAACAAAAAAGTATGTTCGTTTGCAATTTATATTTTTCCTTAAGATTTCAATGCAAAGCTTCTGCTGCAGATGGATCTAATGTATGTTTTATATGATATTATTTTATTCAATAGAGTCAATTTCGAACAGTGGAAGTAAAGATTCGCCCATTCATTGATCGATGGGTATCATTCAAAACACATATACTACTGTCTTTGGAGACTCACTTACCATCTGATCGGAAAAAAGAGAAAATCTTGTATCAGCTTCAGGTATTCACAATTATTTTTAACCTAGGTATGCTCAAGTATGTAGTTGGACTTCTGACTAAGGTTTACTACTGTTATACCCTCATTCACTCTTTCATATATTTAACTTTTAAGTATATGTATATCCGATGAACTTAATATTGGTTTACATTGTCACCACAGCATTGTTGTGTAGTCTACAAGTTTGCTCCATAAACGGTAAGAAGTGGCTGGTTTTGAAACATAACGCAGCGTGTAACGTCATCTATAGCAACTTTTTAAAAATCAAAAACCAAGGAGAAACCGTCGATTGTTTTCATCACATAGTGGTTCAAGAATATCGATGGCCGTGAATGGGATAGATAAGTAAACATCCATGTCTTCCATGATTTGTATTAGGCCACCGCCACTGCGTCTAGCGTGGTGTGCGAAGTATGTTAAGAAGTAGTTCAACTAGTCTATATCCTATTTTCAACTATATTGTCTTCGCCAGCAGTCAGAAATAAAGGTCATCACCAAGCTTCCAATCATTGTTGAGGTTTTAATCAATCTCAAGCGAAAATTAGTTGGGTTGCGATAAATTAGCTCCAAGGTGTTTAGTGGTAATTACTAACCATCCTTAGTCATGTGTGCCAGATTTCGCGTTGCATGTAACTGACTAATTGTTAGTTGACCTTTTGAATAAGCTAGAATTTTGGAATTCGACTTGAGCGTAACTGATTTAGATTGTCAATCATCTCAGCTTATGACAAAATGTCCTATGAGAATAGAAGAACCAAACTGTTTAGTGTAAGTTTCGAGATCTTGTCTTCCGTAGTTATTGGACCTAGGAAAACTATTCCGACTTTAGTTCTAACCGTTAGTTTCTTGATAGTACCCTTATCACCGGACTCTAGATTAATGTCTTATTTATCCATCTCCAGCTGTCATTCTAGCCATTCATCTAAAGACGGTCTCATAGTAAACATCGCTATTAAAGTGCACCAAACAAGTCCATTTCCGTGGTGAGTATCGTATCCATTTATTCATACAAAGCTTACTCTTTTCACTAATCACATAATTGTTTGTCTGTTTCCCACTTTTTATTTTATGATATCCTCCGTTCAACACCGGTCAAATTCCCAGTAATCAGTCTCTTACTCTGATTTATTGAATGTTTCGTAGATGTTGATCGTATTGAATGGTTGGCGATAGGTTAAGGTAGCGTAATAACAGATTCAGTTGTGTAAATAGAGTGGTGTTTTATTTTATCGTGAGTCTAGAACCTTTAACTCCTTGCGTCTAATCAGTTCTGCTGTATATTCGTTCTAGTTTTCGACTACTTCAGTTGCCATTGCTTTTGGTCCTTCACTTTTTCTTCTGTTACGATTATGAGATCGAAAAGTCAAACTGACGTATATTTGTACCAGTTTCTATTCTGTTAACGTCTATTTAACTAGGAGAGCAAAGTCCCTCTACTATATTTTCTGTAATGGATATGTACCTCAGCAAAGTGCGAATGTGTGATAAGTAGACTGTATTATTGTTGTTGTAAATGTGAACCATTTACGGTAAATTCAAAAGTGCGTAATATACTTGTTTGTTCACTTTTGTTGACAGATTTCTGTAAATAAAAGTGCTTTTTAATTCATTCAGTAAGTGTAAAATTACTAGTAATACTAGTATTTTCGTACTTTTTAAATGTATAATGTATATAAAGCAAGTACAATCAAAGTAACTTGCCATTTCACCATCTCTTTCAAGTGGTCAAAATTTCCGTTAAATTTTCAGGCTGCTGTCGAACCTTACCTTCAATCCTTGGTTACGGAAACACAGTTGCTGATCAATGGAGAATTACATCAAGCTGATGAAAAATTACTAAAAGATATAGATTTTTCTGTACCCCTTGATGCTGACATCCAAACCAAAAAGAACAAAAAATCGTCCAAGTCAAAGCGTTATGATTTGCCTCTTAATGTAGATCACTCCTTAGTTACTTCGGCGGGGAGTAAGAAATATGCAATTGCCAAGGGGTCCGTTAGTCCAGCCTTTACCCCACTTGATATAGTAATTTTCGGACCACAGGTTAGTGACTTTCATACCGCTTCATATATCTGACAATAGCCTGTGTTTAGAAGCTTTTTCACCACATACCAGAGTATTGTGAATCAGCTTTTAGTAAGAAATGAGTTACCATGCAGCTAAAACGACATAAATGCAATGAATCTTCAACTGAGACATTTTGATTCATTGATTAAGGCTAAACACTAAGCCCCTATTTTAATGGACTTTCACATAGGGCGTGTTGTAGAAACCAAGTTGTAAATTGGTTGGATTATTACTTATCAGCCGGTCTTGGCATAGAAGCATGGTTATTCGGGCTAGGTTTCATATGTATTCTTTGCTCGGAAGGGAGGATCCATTGTGGGAGCTTTTGTTAGTGAGAGAAATGCTTGAATTGAAGAGCGTTTACAATGAATTGTCTAAAATGAATACTTTGAGTGATAATAATCAATGAAGCTGTGACCTAGTGATTAATACATTCAACTTTCAAGCACTGCGTGACAGGTTCAACCCCCTCCATCTATTTCGGTTTGGGCAACCAGACAGTTTCACTAGTTCTCACATGTGAAGCACATGCATTTGCACTTGGTGAATGACTTGCCGCAGGTGTTGGTCAAAGCTTTTTACCATGCCTATTTGTCCAATATACCAAGAATATTACCCCATACTAACGACTGCATGACCTCAAAGCGTCTTATGACTCAATAATTATATGATAGTACCTGGATTTAAAGGAATTACTGTAGAAAGATATTAAGTCAGTAAAGTTTTGTTATACTGATATCATGGCAGCGAAAACGAGCACTATTCTCCAAGTATGTCTACTGTTCCCGACCGTTGTTGCTACATTGACGTGGTGATCGGGTTTGCCTATCGTGATGAACCAGTCGAGCTATACTGGCTGGAACAACCGTTCCTCAAGGTCCTACCATGCCAGACAGGTCGGTTGAAGAGCGGTAAGACTAATAGCAGCAAACCCAAGGTCTGAGGGCAAAGTCGTACTGCTGACTGTACAGAGGTGTGACGACAGTAAGGTGTTCCCTTCAGACAACCAGCATAACAGCGATGCTGCCTTCTCACAAGGAGGGGTGGGGTTAGAAAAGGCCGACCATAAAAATGCACACCTCACCTTATTCCACGGATTTCCGTCTCCGGAGGTAAGGTCTCAACAAGTACGGAGCTAACACGAAAATTACCCACAAAAAGGTCGTGTGTGACTGACCTCAAGCAGTTTTCTCTTGGGCACTGCGGTCACTCTCAGCTCACTAAGACCACCTCTAATCCAATTTCCGTTTCAGGTACCTCCAGAAGAACCCTTCCACGTTGTGAAAGTGAAAACCACCCTCATACCTCTAACAGCACTCAAGACCACTGATGTCTACTGTTATTTCTGTATAATTCTGTTACATATTGTCTTTCTGAAATATTAGGACAAAACGTTAGGGCCCTCACAGTGGTAAGATTAAATTTTGGCACACAACAAATATGAAGTGTAATTATCGCGCTATTGGATTTAAATAAGTTTTTCTAGTCCGGTTTTGTGGCTGATGTGGTTGACTAAGCTATGTACCTAAATACGCTCGTAAATCTAGCATAGGAAATAAGCTAGAGACATGGTTCCAGAATGGATGCCAAAGATTAAAGTTAGTTTTACTCTGTAATATCAAGCTTATCATTTTTGGGAAACGACTTAGTAGTTTAGCTTGTTCTTTTATCATGAATGATTCATTATTTATAATTATTTGTTTGACGTGCTGTGTTTCTTGATTGGTTAGATTAATACCAAAGTATCAAGCTGAAGGTAAATGAAACATGGTAGTATATTAGCAGATTGCTCATATTTTGAGCACTAGCGCATTTTCCTGATTTCTAGGATTTTAATCATCAAGCTTATGTATTGAACAACATGAATTTAAGCAAGTAACAATAGATGTATACAACACACTAAGAACCACAATATATCTAACTACCTAATCACGCAAGCCAATGTAATGAACTGTATAATCTACTTCATAGTTGTCCATTCAGTAATTTCCATATATACAAACGTTGCTGCAAACTCTCACCACCCATACCTCCTCCCCTTATTACTCATGTATGAAGTTTAGGGGTGTTATAAATATCCATATTCAACGTAAATTCAGGCATCTGAAATCTATTTCAATTGTTTCTCGATGTCGTTCAAATGTCCTAACTTCTCAATGTAAAAGTCGTTATTTTCGTTTCCAATTCTGTTTTGTTTAACCTGTTGGGGATTTACACGACTTTATAATTGTGGTTGAGTAATAAAGTAATTTAAATTACGGCAGTACATTTATATTTAATAAATCCGTTCCACTTTTCAGTTTTCAACAGGTAAGAAGTACCGTTTACTTTCACATATTAGATGTGATTACGCTGAATTATCACCGACTGTAAAAGTAATTTCCATAAATCTTTCATATTTATTAGTTTTTTATAACTCCAAAATACTGTCTTTGAGTCTTGATATGGTTGGAATTCAGTCGCCTATTCAACAATGATCCCCAGCATTGGTTGACAATAGTTTAGCATTTATTGTTTATTGTCAAGTGTAGACTTGACTTCACATTCAGTGGGCCTTGAGACTAAGCTATTGTGCTTAATAGCCTGAAGTTTTTTAAGGCGATCTGAATGTGATATTATTTAGTTATCAGCCATATGCACGTGTATGTATGAATGCCCCCAAATGCCCTGGTACGTCCGAGGGTGGGGAGAGTCAGTTCTCCGTCTCGAAATGTCCTCATATGGCCACGCGTATACAGCCACTGTCAGGGAAGTCCTACTCACTGCCTTATTGTGGCGGGGGGTGTTGTTCACGAAATTGAAAACGAAGAGCGAATGTCCGGAGCTTTAACCTGGTTGGTGGATATGGAGGATCCACCTGGCAGAGTTGGAAAACCCTGATTCCAAACCAATGCTGCACATGGGCTCCAGGGTCCTAAGGGAACGAAAGGCGTATGAACCTTTTGTCGATCACTAGCTACCATGGGACTATATCTCCTAACGTTTCTCCAGTATCCTGTAAGTTAGACCTAGATGAAAGCCCCAGAGCGTGGTCTTCTTAAAGTCCCTCTGCTTCGGTTTGGACACGCGGGCAGTATTCCAGCCCTCATACAAATCAAATTATTTGTGTGGCGCATGTATATTTGGTGCCTCCTTTTACCAATGTTTATGTGTCTAAATAAATAAATATGTATTGGTCCTAGCTGTAGTAAAATATTAACATAGCGAGATGAAATTATCAAGACGAATCACAGAGCATTAGAAATAATAGCAGTATCGGTAGTATAAAAATTTTAGGCATAAACGATATAACTTGTGAGGAATGAATTCATGAAATAAATTCTATAATAACTTTAAAACTCAGGCAGAATGAATGTATCTGTGCCATTTCAGCTGGTTCTAAACCGTTTCACGCAAATTCTCTATTGCAGATAGAATGGATTCTAATTACGCTCACATACTCTTATGACTGATACGCCAGTGTATCGGTTTTCTCAAATCGGTTCAAAAAATTTCAATAAAATTCAATTTTCACACTATCTTAATAGATGAGTTATAGGAAATTACTGACTAGTATTGAATTGGGTTTCTTTTTATTGGTACATTAACCTTTGGATTCTTCACTCCGATTCCACTTTGCAGTTTCCTCAATGGCAGCGTGCAAGTTCGTCATCGTCACTTGAATCTGGTGCTAGTTCGGATACAAATATGAATAATGGAAATGATACTAATGATTCTTCAGGTAGTTTCGTTCCCATTAATCGCTTGTTAATCAATGGCCGAATTCCTGGAATTGCGTTTTTACCAGCTAATTCAAGTGTTGGAGACTTACTCGAGGTTAGCTAATCTCTTATGTATATATTCTTAATATTTCCTAATTCATCTTTTAAATACTAAACCTTTATCGTAAAATATATACTTTACGAGTATTTATTTAAAAAGGTTAATTTAATTTCTTTTGGATATCATTTTGCTTACACTTTAAACTTGTTCCTTTTATGCAGGAAAGTAATCGCTAGCAAAAACGTTTTATTCAGAAATTCAGCGATTTCAGAGTGCATTTCATATTTTCTGTTCCTTGTTTTAAAATATTTTACCTGATATTAAATAATACAAATGGTATAGCACCTTGAACCAATCGTAAGCTATACTCACTGGTATCTATATTAGACAACTAACGAAAATTCGTTAAAAACAACTAACGGATTAATTACATATTTTGTAGCTCATTTAAATTCTAAGAAACGTAAGTCCTTTGTAGAAAGCAAAAGAAAAAACAGTGAATTACTCTTTAAAATCAGGATATTGAAATGAATTTCTCAGTGTAGCATAATTCAGGTTAAGTCAGTTAATACAAGATAACTTTTGCATACTGTAAACGTTAGTGAGTTAAGAAAAAGTATATCTTATTTCCTGAGGATTTTTATTTACAACATTGTGTTAGAGATGACCTAAATGGTTCAATAATAATATCGTTTATTGTGACATAGAAAGATACAGAAAGTATCAGTTCATGGGAGACTGAAGGTTCGATCAATACGAAACCTACGTCTAATAGTTTATGTCGATTATTTATTGCCCCCTAATATCGAAATATGTATGCAGATATTGAAATAGTAGCTAAGTGGTTAAAGCTTTTGACAATTAGGTCCTACCCATGTTAAAATTCTATTCCACTTATTTCGGCTAGGTATTTGGGTTGCATCATTTACTTTCACACGTAAAACAATATTATTCAGAGCTGAATACATGATTTTGTACTTGATTATTAAAGTGAAGTAAAGATTGAATTAAAATTTCAAAAACCTGAGATATTTTGTTTAAGTGCTCAAATCTAGGGAAAGTATTAAAAAAAATGTAACTTAATTGGGCTATTATGTTGACTCATTTTACTGTTATGGTGTTTGCAGTATTTTATCGTTCTAATCCAAATTTTTGAAACAATAATTAAGGTTACTTGTTAAACAATGGCAATTATTACTTGATGGATAGATTGGCGGAGTATTTTTGTATCAACTTTCTGTAATATTTTTATAACTTGTAAACCTTTTCATTCTTATCTTAACACTATGCGAATAGTTTTACTAATAAGTAACATTTTGATGATATTTGTTAACAATCATTTAATCTACGTTGTTGATAATTTTTAGGCATTACGGAATGATCTTGTACGGAGTATACTAGCACGACTACAACTTTTAACAGAAGAGTTACACATTACCAGTGCTGAACTGGAAGGTAAGCTATCATCTGATCTTAAGTATCTATTTTTCAGTGTTTAATTGAAAATAAATTCACATATTTATTCATTTATCTTATTCTTTGCTCTAAGTAACTAATTTTGATAGATATTATTGTTCATCATGAGAATTCTGATAAGCTGGTAGAAAAATAAAGCTGTCTTATTTTGTTTTTCATTCACTAAAAAAATACATTCAATAGCATTATATATCTGTATCGTCTCATACACTTAACACCCTTTGAGGCATGCACAATACTGAAGTTTTTAATGTAATTTTAATCTGTGGTTAGATATCTTGTAGATCAAGAAGAGTTGACGTGCCGTGAGTGGTTGATTATATTTTCAGATGTCAAATAACCTCTACTTTTATTTAACGTGACATGTATTGAAGCAGTTGAATAACATTGCAAGTACAGAAATCCCTGTATAACATATGTACTAATATGAATTTTTCATCACGTAGCTAATATTTTGTAACTCAGCTAAATAGTTGCAGAATAATAAGGATGGTTTCAGTCAGTCAGCTACAACGTAGGACCAGGCACATATGTGCATCGGTCCAGGTTGCCATACCGCATCAGCACAACAAGATGAACACCGGATTCATAGCAGTGGTTAGGTCAAAGGTGGTAATATATAAGAGAAATATTGCATATAGAAATATAGTACAAGAAGAAAAAATTGGTTCGTAGAAAGAAAGACATGAAGCGATTTTAATCTCTTAGTTTAAGGGGAGATAGAGAGTGTATACACCGACGCCATTGTGATCGATCCCGAGCCATGTCACCAAGAGTCTCCAACCATTGGTTACGATAGTCACGCGGACCCCAACCAAGTAGTCTGCATCTACAAACATGGCTCAGACTAGAAGTTAGTGTCTTCAAGCACTGATGCCACGTTTTGGTTTGGCCGCCCCTAACTTTCTTCCAACCATCTCCAACACCGGTTAGCGTTGCACGTCGTGGTAATCGGTGTTCAGGCATACGTAACACGTGGCCCAACCATCTCAGTCGATGAAGATTCATAACCTCATCAACTGATTTACCATCATTTCCTAATACCCTGCGTCTAACCTCACTATTACTTACCCGGTGATCCCAGCAGACGCCAGCAATATTTCTAAGGCATCTGTGGTCAAATACTAATAGCTTATGAGTGTCTTCTACTCTTAATGGCCATGTTTCGCTGCCGGCTACGGTTGCCGTTAACGCGTGCCGGCTTGGAAGTTTCCCGAGTTGTTTTTCGAGTCACTAGGTTTCGTGTTGGGAAAATTGCAGGGTTTTCTACAATTTCTGGAAAACTTTCCATACTGGTTATGATAACAGCACCAGTCGGGGTTATCTGTCTCTCGTGGTCTAGAGACAGATCGCTTACGTGAAATGCTTCTACGTGGGGTGCGCAATCTCTTACGGTCAGTACGAAGACTAAGATAACGCGTGAGTGTATGACATAACTTGGTTATATCATTCTGAGTCGTTTGAGGTTTTTCTTTGACTGAAAATACCTCGGTAGTAGGTTTCGTAATTTCTAAAATACGGTCGGCAGATGCAGCTAGCTCGTCTAAGGCGTTGTTCTGGAACGAGACCAGAACTGCTTGCACCTGTTGGGGAAGTATATACATATTCAAGAAAAAACACGAAAAAAATCACAATATTTAAAAAAATAAAAAAATAAGCCAATGATATATAAAAATCCCAAAAAGGAACAGACTCACAGTTGCAATTAGGTGTACCAGATCACGTCGGTCTCACCAATGATGATGTCACAGGTACTCAGTGTTTGACAACGCTTCTACCAGTAACACCTAATATATTTCGTTCCCACCCAGAGAAATCAAAAGACAGAGTCGAGGAGATCGGAAGAGTGTATTTGGCGACCACCAATATATCGGAATTCTCTGATTTAATCTGGCTAGCGATTGCGGTTGATGTTGAGCACGGCGTTACCACACGTGATCTGGTGCGGATGCCTGACCGAGCGCCTTCAGCTAGATGAGTCCACTAAAACATATGGTCAGCATCCAATGTCGAAAACTTAGAGCTATTTATTTTGGGGATTTATTTACCGCTACAAACAAAATAGGTTCATGTTAATTATCTCCACAACCCATTGTTTGGGAACTGTCACCCTCACACAAAACCAAAGTATTGAAAACGTGGACAGTATAGATCCTTATCTATCCGAAGTGTAATATAGTGCTGAATAACCTCAACTCCAATGTTCTTTCTTTTACCTAGGTACCTATATAACAAAACCGTTGGTTCATGATTATCAGGAAGGGAAGACAATTGTCCAGATACTACCATTATTTTATCAACAGCTACTTTAAAAATTTACTACACTTGGATGCAGACAGACAATAATGTAGTTTGCTCACTCTGTCTTCTGGTGCTGGAGCTCAGCCCGCCATTTACAAGTTGATAAGACACTAAGGATGATCTCAGAGGTTTTGTTTGATAATAGTTTTGCAGATCGTTTGCTCTCTGTAGATGAGTTCCATTGTGGAGTAATGATAGGCGGAGTGAGTTCGTTTCATTTATTCCTCATTTAGTAGCGGTTCGGTTCCCAGGAGTGCTTGTTCTTACCCATTGACATTCCAAAAGATGACACTTCAGGCGATCCACCCCATCGATCTGTTTCGCCTCGTATGATTGAGGATTTAAGCGAAAAATGGATTGCGTCACATTGTAGAAATCTTGCGCGGATGATTCCAGGGGGTGTTCATATAAGTGGGATTTGTCTGACTGTCCCATATGGCGAATTCAACGGTCATACTAATCATATTCAGAAAGTAATAAGCTCTTAACTAACTGTCAGATCCTCTCTCATATATCGCGGGATGACACACCCATGAACAGGTTTATTTGTTCAAAAAGTACAGAAAAATTAGTGTTGGTGGCTGACCCCAAAACAAAAAAGTATGTTCGTTTGCAATTTATATTTTTCCTTAAGATTTCAATGCAAAGCTTCTGCTGCAGATGGATCTAATGTATGTTTTATATGATATTATTTTATTCAATAGAGTCAATTTCGAACAGTGGAAGTAAAGATTCGCCCATTCATTGATCGATGGGTATCATTCAAAACACATATACTACTGTCTTTGGAGACTCACTTACCATCTGATCGGAAAAAAGAGAAAATCTTGTATCAGCTTCAGGTATTCACAATTATTTTTAACCTAGGTATGCTCAAGTATGTAGTTGGACTTCTGACTAAGGTTTACTACTGTTATACCCTCATTCACTCTTTCATATATTTAACTTTTAAGTATATGTATATCCGATGAACTTAATATTGGTTTACATTGTCACCACAGCATTGTTGTGTAGTCTACAAGTTTGCTCCATAAACGGTAAGAAGTGGCTGGTTTTGAAACATAACGCAGCGTGTAACGTCATCTATAGCAACTTTTTAAAAATCAAAAACCAAGGAGAAACCGTCGATTGTTTTCATCACATAGTGGTTCAAGAATATCGATGGCCGTGAATGGGGTAGATAAGTAAACATCCATGTCTTCCATGATTTGTATTAGGCCACCGCCACTGCGTCTAGCGTGGTGTGCGAAGTATGTTAAGAAGTAGTTCAACTAGTCTATATCCTATTTTCAACTATATTGTCTTCGCCAGCAGTCAGAAATAAAGGTCATCACCAAGCTTCCAATCATTGTTGAGGTTTTAATCAATCTCAAGCGAAAATTAGTTGGGTTGCGATAAATTAGCTCCAAGGTGTTTAGTGGTAATTACTAACCATCCTTAGTCATGTGTGCCAGATTTCGCGTTGCATGTAACTGACTAATTGTTAGTTGACCTTTTGAATAAGCTAGAATTTTGGAATTCGACTTGAGCGTAACTGATTTAGATTGTCAATCATCTCAGCTTATGACAAAATGTCCTATGAGAATAGAAGAACCAAACTGTTTAGTGTAAGTTTCGAGATCTTGTCTTCCGTAGTTATTGGACCTAGGAAAACTATTCCGACTTTAGTTCTAACCGTTAGTTTCTTGATAGTACCCTTATCACCGGACTCTAGATTAATGTCTTATTTATCCATCTCCAGCTGTCATTCTAGCCATTCATCTAAAGGCGGTCTCATAGTAAACATCGCTATTAAAGTGCACCAAACAAGTCCATTTCCGTGGTGAGTATCGTATCCATTTATTCATACAAAGCTTACTCTTTTCACTAATCACATAATTGTTTGTCTGTTTCCCACTTTTTATTTTATGATATCCTCCGTTCAACACCGGTCAAATTCCCAGTAATCAGTCTCTTACTCTGATTTATTGAATGTTTCGTAGATGTTGATCGTATTGAATGGTTGGCGATAGGTTAAGGTAGCGTAATAACAGATTCAGTTGTGTAAATAGAGTGGTGTTTTATTTTATCGTGAGTCTAGAACCTTTAACTCCTTGCGTCTAATCAGTTCTGCTGTATATTCGTTCTAGTTTTCGACTACTTCAGTTGCCATTGCTTTTGGTCCTTCACTTTTTCTTCTGTTACGATTATGAGATCGAAAAGTCAAACTGACGTATATTTGTACCAGTTTCTATTCTGTTAACGTCTATTTAACTAGGAGAGCAAAGTCCCTCTACTATATTTTCTGTAATGGATATGTACCTCAGCAAAGTGCGAATGTGTGATAAGTAGACTATTATTGTTGTTGTAAATGTGAACCATTTACGGTAAATTCAAAAGTGCGTAATATACTTGTTTGTTCACTTTTGTTGACAGATTTCTGTAAATAAAAGTGCTTTTTAATTCATTCAGTAAGTGTAAAATTACTAGTAATACTAGTATTTTCGTACTTTTTAAATGTATAATGTATATAAAGCAAGTACAATCAAAGTAACTTGCCATTTCACCATCTCTTTCAAGTGGTCAAAATTTCCGTTAAATTTTCAGGCTGCTGTCGAACCTTACCTTCAATCCTTGGTTACGGAAACACAGTTGCTGATCAATGGAGAATTACATCAAGCTGATGAAAAATTACTAAAAGATATAGATTTTTCTGTACCCCTTGATGCTGACATCCAAACCAAAAAGAACAAAAAATCGTCCAAGTCAAAGCGTTATGATTTGCCTCTTAATGTAGATCACTCCTTAGTTACTTCGGCGGGGAGTAAGAAATATGCAATTGCCAAGGGGTCCGTTAGTCCAGCCTTTACCCCACTTGATATAGTAATTTTCGGACCACAGGTTAGTGACTTTCATACCGCTTCATATATCTGACAATAGCCTGTGTTTAGAAGCTTTTTCACCACATACCAGAGTATTGTGAATCAGCTTTTAGTAAGAAATGAGTTACCATGCAGCTAAAACGACATAAATGCAATGAATCTTCAACTGAGACATTTTGATTCATTGATTAAGGCTAAACACTAAGCCCCTATTTTAATGGACTTTCACATAGGGCGTGTTATAGAAACCAAGTTGTAAATTGGTTGGATTATTACTTATCAGCCGGTCTTGGCATAGAAGCATGGTTATTCGGGCTAGGTTTCATATGTATTCTTTGCTCGGAAGGGAGGATCCATTGTGGGAGCTTTTGTTAGTGAGAGAAATGCTTGAATTGAAGAGCGTTTACAATGAATTGTCTAAAATGAATACTTTGAGTGATATTAATCAATGAAGCTGTGACCTAGTGATTAATACATTCAACTTTCAAGCACTGCGTGACAGGTTCAACCCCCTCCATCTATTTCGGTTTGGGCAACCAGACAGTTTCACTAGTTCTCACATGTGAAGCACATGCATTTGCACTTGGTGAATGACTTGCCGCAGGTGTTGGTCAAAGCTTTTTACCATGCCTATTTGTCCAATATACCAAGAATATTACCCCATACTAACGACTGCATGACCTTAAAGCGTCTTATGACTCAATAATTATATGATAGTACCTGGATTTAAAGGAATTACTGTAGAAAGATATTAAGTCAGTAAAGTTTTGTTATACTGATATCATGGCAGCGAAAACGAGCACTATTCTCCAAGTATGTCTACTGTTCCCGACCGTTGTTGCTACATTGACGTGGTGATCGGGTTTGCCTATCGTGATGAACCAGTCGAGCTATACTGGCTGGAACAACCGTTCCTCAAGGTCCTACCATGCCAGACAGGTCGGTTGAAGAGCGGTAAGACTAATAGCAGCAAACCCAAGGTCTGAGGGCAAAGTCGTACTGCTGACTGTACAGAGGTGTGACGACAGTAAGGTGTTCCCTTCAGACAACCAGCATAACAGCGATGCTGCCTTCTCACAAGGAGGGGTGGGGTTAGAAAAGGCCGACCATAAAAATGCACACCTCACCTTATTCCACGGATTTCCGTCTCCGGAGGTAAGGTCTCAACAAGTACGGAGCTAACACGAAAATTACCCACAAAAAGGTCGTGTGTGACTGACCTCAAGCAGTTTTCCCTTGGGCACTGCGGTCACTCTCAGCTCACTAAGACCACCTCTAATCCAATTTCCGTTTCAGGTACCTCCAGAAGAACCCTTCCACGTTGTGAAAGTGAAAACCACCCTCATACCTCTAACAGCACTCAAGACCACTGATGTCTACTGTTATTTCTGTATAATTCTGTTACATATTGTCTTTCTGAAATATTAGGACAAAACGTTAGGGCCCTCACAGTGGTAAGATTAAATTTTGGCACACAACAAATATGAAGTGTAATTATCGCGCTATTGGATTTAAATAAGTTTTTCTAGTCCGGTTTTGTGGCTGATGTGGTTGACTAAGCTATGTACCTAAATACGCTCGTAAATCTAGCATAGGAAATAAGCTAGAGACATGGTTCCAGAATGGATGTCAAAGATTAAAGTTAGTTTTACTCTGTAATATCAAGCTTATCATTTTTGGGAAACGACTTAGTAGTTTAGCTTGTTCTTTTATCATGAATGATTCATTATTTATAATTATTTGTTTGACGTGCTGTGTTTCTTGATTGGTTAGATTAATACCAAAGTATCAAGCTGAAGGTAAATGAAACATGGTAGTATATTAGCAGATTGCTCATATTTTGAGCACTAGCGCATTTTCCTGATTTCTAGGATTTTAATCATCAAGCTTATGTATTGAACAACATGAATTTAAGCAAGTAACAATAGATGTATACAACACACTAAGAACCACAATATATCTAACTACCTAATCACGCAAGCCAATGTAATGAACTGTATAATCTACTTCATAGTTGTCCATTCAGTAATTTCCATATATACAAACGTTGCTGCAAACTCTCACCACCCATACCTCCTCCCCTTATTACTCATGTATGAAGTTTAGGGGTGTTATAAATATCCATATTCAACGTAAATTCAGGCATCTGAAATCTATTTCAATTGTTTCTCGATGTCGTTCAAATGTCCTAACTTCTCAATGTAAAAGTCGTTATTTTCGTTTCCAATTCTGTTTTGTTTAACCTGTTGGGGATTTACACGACTTTATAATTGTGGTTGAGTAATAAAGTAATTTAAATTACGGCAGTACATTTATATTTAATAAATCCGTTCCACTTTTCAGTTTTCAACAGGTAAGAAGTACCGTTTACTTTCACATATTAGATGTGATTACGCTGAATTATCACCGACTGTAAAAGTAATTTCCATAAATCTTTCATATTTATTAGTTTTTTATAACTCCAAAATACTGTCTTTGAGTCTTGATATGGTTGGAATTCAGTCGCCTATTCAACAATGATCCCCAGCATTGGTTGACAATAGTTTAGCATTTATTGTTTATTGTCAAGTGTAGACTTGACTTCACATTCAGTGGGCCTTGAGACTAAGCTATTGTGCTTAATAGCCTGAAGTTTTTTAAGGCGATCTGAATGTGATATTATTTAGTTATCAGCCATATGCACGTGTATGTATGAATGCCCCCAAATGCCCTGGTACGTCCGAGGGTGGGGAGAGTCAGTTCTCCGTCTCGAAATGTCCTCATATGGCCACGCGTATACAGCCACTGTCAGGGAAGTCCTACTCACTGCCTTATTGTGGCGGGGGGTGTTGTTCACGAAATTGAAAACGAAGAGCGAATGTCCGGAGCTTTAACCTGGTTGGTGGATATGGAGGATCCACCTGGCAGAGTTGGAAAACCCTGATTCCAAACCAATGCTGCACATGGGCTCCAGGGTCCTAAGGGAACAAAAGGCGTATGAACCTTTTGTCGATCACTAGCTACCATGGGACTATATCTCCTAACGTTTCTCCAGTATCCTGTAAGTTAGACCTAGATGAAAGCCCCAGAGCGTGGTCTTCTTAAAGTCCCTCTGCTTCGGTTTGGACACGCGGGCAGTATTCCAGCCCTCATACAAATCAAATTATTTGTGTGGCGCATGTATATTTGGTGCCTCCTTTTACCAATGTTTATGTGTCTAAATAAATAAATATGTATTGGTCCTAGCTGTAGTAAAATATTAACATAGCGAGATGAAATTATCAAGACGAATCACAGAGCATTAGAAATAATAGCAGTATCGGTAGTATAAAAATTTTAGGCATAAACGATATAACTTGTGAGGAATGAATTCATGAAATAAATTCTATAATAACTTTAAAACTCAGGCAGAATGAATGTATCTGTGCCATTTCAGCTGGTTCTAAACCGTTTCACGCAAATTCTCTATTGCAGATAGAATGGATTCTAATTACGCTCACATACTCTTATGACTGATACGCCAGTGTATCGGTTTTCTCAAATCGGTTCAAAAAATTTCAATAAAATTCAATTTTCACACTATCTTAATAGATGAGTTATAGGAAATTACTGACTAGTATTGAATTGGGTTTCTTTTTATTGGTACATTAACCTTTGGATTCTTCACTCCGATTCCACTTTGCAGTTTCCTCAATGGCAGCGTGCAAGTTCGTCATCGTCACTTGAATCTGGTGCTAGTTCGGATACAAATATGAATAATGGAAATGATACTAATGATTCTTCAGGTAGTTTCGTTCCCATTAATCGCTTGTTAATCAATGGCCGAATTCCTGGAATTGCGTTTTTACCAGCTAATTCAAGTGTTGGAGACTTACTCGAGGTTAGCTAATCTCTTGTGTATATATTCTTAATATTTCCTAATTCATCTTTTAAATACTAAACCTTTATCGTAAAATATATACTTTACGAGTATTTATTTAAAAAGGTTAATTTAATTTCTTTTGGATATCATTTTGCTTACACTTTAAACTTGTTCCTTTTATGCAGGAAAGTAATCGCTAGCAAAAACGTTTTATTCAGAAATTCAGCGATTTCAGAGTGCATTTCATATTTTCTGTTCCTTGTTTTAAAATATTTTACCTGATATTAAATAATACAAATGGTATAGCACCTTGAACCAATCGTAAGCTATACTCACTGGTATCTATATTAGACAACTAACGAAAATTCGTTAAAAACAACTAACGGATTAATTACATATTTTGTAGCTCATTTAAATTCTAAGAAACGTAAGTCCTTTGTAGAAAGCAAAAGAAAAAACAGTGAATTACTCTTTAAAATCAGGATATTGAAATGAATTTCTCAGTGTAGCATAATTCAGGTTAAGTCAGTTAATACAAGATAACTTTTGCATACTGTAAACGTTAGTGAGTTAAGAAAAAGTATATCTTATTTCCTGAGGATTTTTATTTACAACATTGTGTTAGAGATGACCTAAATGGTTCAATAATAATATCGTTTATTGTGACATAGAAAGATACAGAAAGTATCAGTTCATGGGAGACTGAAGGTTCGATCAATACGAAACCTACGTCTAATAGTTTATGTCGATTATTTATTGCCCCCTAATATCGAAATATGTATGCAGATATTGAAATAGTAGCTAAGTGGTTAAAGCTTTTGACAATTAGGTCCTACCCATGTTAAAATTCTATTCCACTTATTTCGGCTAGGTATTTGGGTTGCATAATTTACTTTCACACGTAAAACAATATTATTCAGAGCTGAATACATGATTTTGTACTTGATTATTAAAGTGAAGTAAAGATTGAATTAAAATTTCAAAAACCTGAGATATTTTGTTTAAGTGCTCAAATCTAGGGAAAGTAATAAAAAAATGTAACTTAATTGGGCTATTATGTTGACTCATTTTACTGTTATGGTGTTTGCAGTATTTTATCGTTCTAATCCAAATTTTTGAAACAATAATTAAGGTTACTTGTTAAACAATGGCAATTATTACTTGATGGATAGATTGGCGGAGTATTTTTGTATCAACTTTCTGTAATATTTTTATAACTTGTAAACCTTTTCATTCTTATCTTAACACTATGCGAATAGTTTTACTAATAAGTAACATTTTGATGATATTTGTTAACAATCATTTAATCTACGTTGTTGATAATTTTTAGGCATTACGGAATGATCTTGTACGGAGTATACTAGCACGACTACAACTTTTAACAGAAGAGTTACACATTACCAGTGCTGAACTGGAAGGTAAGCTATCATCTGATCTTAAGTATCTATTTTTCAGTGTTTAATTGAAAATAAATTCACATATTTATTCATTTATCTTATTCTTTGCTCTAAGTAACTAATTTTGATAGATATTATTGTTCATCATGAGAATTCTGATAAGCTGGTAGAAAAATAAAGCTGTCTTATTTTGTTTTTCATTCACTAAAAAAATACATTCAATAGCATTATATATCTGTATCGTCTCATACACTTAACACCCTTTGAGGCATGCACAATACTGAAGTTTTTAATGTAATTTTAATCTGTGGTTAGATATCTTGTAGATCAAGAAGAGTTGACGTGCCGTGAGTGGTTGATTATATTTTCAGATGTCAAATAACCTCTACTTTTATTTAACGTGACATGTATTAAAGCAGTTGAATAACATTGCAAGTACAGAAATCCCTGTATAACATATGTACTAATATGAATTTTTCATCACGTAGCTAATATTTTGTAACTCAGCTAAATAGTTGCAGAATAATAAGGATGGTTTCAGTCAGTCAGCTACAACGTAGGACCAGGCACATATGTGCATCGGTCCAGGTTGCCATACCGCATCAGCACAACAAGATGAACACCGGATTCATAGCAGTGGTTAGGTCAAAGGTGGTAATATATAAGAGAAAGATTGCATATAGAAATATAGTACAAGAAGAAAAAATTGGTTCGTAGAAAGAAAGACATGAAGCGATTTTAATCTCTTAGTTTAAGGGGAGATAGAGAGTGTATACACCGACGCCATTGTGATCGATCCCGAGCCATGTCACCAAGAGTCTCCAACCATTGGTTACGATAGTCACGCGGACCCCAACCAAGTAGTCTGCATCTACAAACATGGCTCAGACTAGAAGTTAGTGTCTTCAAGCACTGATGCCACGTTTTGGTTTGGCCGCCCCTAACTTTCTTCCAACCATCTCCAACACCGGTTAGCGTTGCACGTCGTGGTAATCGGTGTTCAGGCATACGTAACACGTGGCCCAACCATCTCAGTCGATGAAGATTCATAACCTCATCAACTGATTTACCATCATTTCCTAATACCCTGCGTCTAACCTCACTATTACTTACCCGGTGATCCCAGCAGACGCCAGCAATATTTCTAAGGCATCTGTGGTCAAATACTAATAGCTTATGAGTGTCTTCTACTCTTAATGGCCATGTTTCGCTGCCGTAAATTAAAACAGAACGAACTGCCGCGCAGTATACTCGTCCTTTTATTGATAGACGGATATCTCGCCTTCGCCACAGGTGACGCAAGTTGGCAAAAGCTAAACGAGCTTTTCGAATCCGTGCTGAGATTTCGTCCGATACCAGCCCATTAGGGCTGATCAGAGTTCCAAGATAAGTGAAGTTGTCGACGCGTTCGACTACTTCACTCCCTATCCTTAGTTCAGGTGTTGACGCAGGCCAAGTCTGAAGCAACAACTTGCATTTAGAGGGAGAGAAGCGCATTCCAAACATCCTGGCATTGTTGCTTAGTGCTACCAAAAGACTCTGCATTTTGTCAGCGTCTTCACCAAACATGACCATGTCATCAGCATATTCTAAGTCGATAAGTGGACCTCCTGGAAGGAGATCAATACCCGAGACTTCAGTCGACGAGAATGCTATTTCCATCAATAGGTCTATGATGAAGTTAACCAAAAATGGAGAAAGTGGAAAGCCTTGACGGACACCACTTGAGGTTGCAAAAGCAGATGACAGTTCGCCATAAGCTCTGACTCGACTGGTAGTGTTCGAGTAAAGAGCCTTCACAAGGTGTGTGTACTTCTGAAGTACACCACTCAATGACAGACACTGCCACAAAATCTCTCGGTCTACGGAGTCAAATGCTGCTTTTAAGTTAAGAAAGACCACCCTTGTCGGACGTCGATAAGTATGCCTGTGTTCTAGAACCTGACGAATGGTGGATATGTGGTCGATGCAGCCACGACCAGGTGTGAACCCAGCCTGATTTTGTCGTGTTTGCAGTTCACGAGTCTTAGCTATGCGTCTGATAACTATCGAGGCTAGTATTTTAGATAATATATTAGTTAAACTAATCCCTCTATGGTTGTCACAGGATGATTTTGACCCTTTCTTATATATTGGGACGATAAGTGATTGTGACCAGTTAGATGGAATAACGTCTAACTCCCAGATTTTAGCTAAAATATTAGTCAACCTAATCGCTAAAATTGGCCCACCATCCTTAAAGACCTCTGGAGCCAATCCATCTGGACCAGCTGCCCTTCCTCCTTTCAGATTAACTATAGCCTTTTGAACTTCAGCAAGAGTTGGGGGACCTACTTCAATGTTCCATTCACACTGTCTGGGAATGGAGGGTAGTTGTAGAGTAGCTGAAGGCCAGCTGAACTGTTCTCTGAAATGTTCCGCCCATCGTTCTAAACGCCTGGACTGGGAGCAGATGAGTGTATCGTCTTTTTCCGATATAATCTCACTTACACTTGACTTATTAATTCCAGTTTATTTTATTAGTCTGTAAAGCTGTCTTGTGTTCCCTATAGTCGCCGCCTTTTCCATCTCTTTTGCTTTCGTTGCCCACCACTGCTCACGGTCGTTTCTTAGACTTTTTCTTAACCTAGATCTGATTTGTTGTCGTTCTTCCTCATGTTCGGAACCTGATGGGACGAGTTTGCGAGAATCCATCAGTGCGATAGACTTTGAAGAAATCCACTGGTTCTTTGTAACTCTGTGGTTTAAGTCACTAATAGATTTCATTGCTGTTTCCACAGCTGTTTGTATATCTTTCCAAGCAACATCTGGGTCAGCCTCGTCTTCAGAACTACCTAATCGTGACCTCAGTTGTTCCTGGAACCTACTTTTGGTTTCCTCGCTACTCAGTTCGGTTCTAATGGGTCTTTTTACTGTGGCTTTTTTGCGTCCAGTGAGGCGCAAGCAGATGCGTGCTCGTATTAGGGCGTGGTCGGAGTCCAAGCAGGTACTCCAGAATGAGCGACAATCTTGTACCGACCCTCTCCAACGATGACTGATGGCAATATGGTCTATTTGAGTCCATCGTTGGTTTGGTGCAGGCGGTCGCCACGTTAGACGATGTCTCTCCTTATGCTTAAAATTTGTGTTTGCTAAAAATAAGCGATTGTCTGAGCACAGTTGCAGCAGACGGTCACCATTATCTGTTCGCTGTGCCGGAATGCTAAAATATCCACCTAAATGCCTTTCTGTTTGGTTTAAGCTACCTATCTGAGCATTAAAGTCACCCCCTACGAGTACTATGTCTGAGCGTTTAGCTTTCTGAAGAAGTTCGGACAGCTTTCTATAAAATTCATCTTTCACATCATCTGAGCTGCAGTCAGTGGGAGCGTAGGTAGAAACGACGAAAAGGCAACGACGTGTATCCCTATCCTTCCGAGTTCTTACGTAGCCGTTTAGCCGAACAGCACATAGACGACTATTGACGGGGATCCACTCTAACAGTGCTTGTTCCGCCCTCATGCTTAGTGCTATGCCTACTCCTGCCAGTCCACGAGAACTGGCCATCGGGTCACCAGATACACGTAGGGTGTATCTCGTTGGCTCTCCGTTTTGCCGAGGTGAGGTCAAGTGAATGACCACACTGGAATCCTGTATGCGTGTTTCGGAGACACAGCATACATCAATGGAAGAGACTCTAGGGTTTTAGCCAAGGAAGCCTGCTGACCGATTTGACATAGAGTGCGTACGTTGAAAGCTCCAATGTGTAGTTTGGAGCGAGGCTTCAGTAGACCTGGGACAGAGTTTTGAGCACTAGAATCGTTGGCTATGGTGACACTTGAGGAGGAAGCCGAAGGAGGAAGTTTAGGGTTGAAAGTCGATGTAGGAGGAATAATAGGAATTGAAGAGGAAGGTTGATTATGGATACAGTGGTCTTGGGTGCTGTTAGAGGTATGAGGGCGGTTACCACTTCGCGGTTGCCCACACCGTGGAAGGGTTCTTCTGGAGGTACCTGAAAAGGAAATTGGATTAGAGGCGGTCTCAGTGACCTGAGAGCGTGACCGCAGTGCCCAAGGGACAACTGCTTGAGGCCGGTCGCGCACGGCCTTTTCGTGGGAGGTTTTTGACGTGTTAGCTCCGTTCTTCAAAGGGCCTTACCGCCGGAGACGGAAATCCGTGAGGTAAGGTGAGGTGCGCATTTTTAGGGTCGACCTTTTCTAACCCCACCCCTCCTTGTGGGAAGGCAGCATCGCTGTCATGCTGGTTGTCTGAAGGAAACACCTTACTGTCGTCACACCTCTGTACAGTCAGCAGTACGACTTCGCCTTCGGACCTTGGGTTTGTTGCTTTTAGTCTTACCGCTCTTCAACCGACCTGTCTGACATGATAGGACCTTGAGGAACGGTTGTTCCAGCCAGTATAGCTCGGTTGCTTCATCATGATAGGCAAGCCCGACCACCACGTCAAGGTAGCAACAACGGTCGGGAATAAGGATGGTTTAACATAAACTCGTTTGTTCCATTGTTGTAAACAGCTTTATTCGACCTAACTAATTCACTATGAATGTAATAAAAAGTTCACTTTCCGACTGTGGTTCTAGATAAAATACATATGAAACACTAGTTTCCCCATAACACCATAATTACTATTATCAAAACGTTTAGATGACGAAAACTAGGAGTTATTTTTGTCATCCACTGAAACGCGCTACTAGTACGTTTTTGCCTACCTTTAACTATATCAACTTTTGCTCTAGATTATTAAATTACAAAATAATAAGAATTCAACGTTTAACTAGTATGATTTAAGCCCTGTTTCTAACAATTTATCTCTTCATATTGGTTGTTAGTGCCACTAGAACTTGATTTAATCTACTCTTTTAGGTGACTTGCAATGCCTAGTCAACTTAAGTAAACTGGGAAAGGAGATCAAGTTGTTGGAAAGCTTAATAATGGGATTAATACTTGATCTAAATCAGTGTATATAAATATGAACGTGTGATTTGACTTTCGCCCAGCTGAATAAATCAGTTTTTAATCTTATAATTTATTTTTATAGACTCTATTAGACCAGATTTTCATATTCATGTTAATTTATTAAATTCTGTCTATCAAAATCTATATAAGATATATTACTTGTTTATCTCTCTTTGGACTTACTGCGTAGATTCGGATTTCTGTTTATTTATAAATGTTTCGATAATTTGTCTTTTGATTACATATTCCTTAGTGTATATTTACACTCATAAGTGTCTATTTCCACTCTTTTTTCCCTTAAGTTCCTCGTATGTTGCTACCTCAACGGGTATTAGTTCGACTTCCTGCTTGTCCTACACTACCATTGTCCGATTATAAATTTTTGTCAGAAACTGCTGAAGATGTTGTAAATCGTTTGGTTTACTTCTGTTTACCTCTTGGAACTACTCCCACTATTCCCACAGGGGAGGGGATTACCTCCGATACCACTGGTCTAAGAAATTCTGTTTCTGAAATTGAGGTGTTGTCCTCACATGATCGTATAGATGCGTCGTGCCTGGATACTACTTTGGAAAAAAGTCCTGAACGTAAGTTAGCAATATGTATTCAGATAATATTGTGGTAGCGACTACTATATTTTTGGTTTGTGACCAGAAGTGAATTCAAGACACGCGTTTCCCATTATTTAGGAGCTCATCTGATTGCACTTAAATCTCAGTGTTGGTGTCCATGTTGCGACTGAAACCTATCACCTATCACCCTATATACCAACACATTTACTAAGCCATAGAGTCCAAATTACTCCCAACTTGTTTAACGAGTGCGATATTTATTACTGATAAAGTTTGTTTTCTCCTTGTTGATATTCAAAGATGGATTAGATTTTGCCGTGAAGATCAATAACGGAAGAATAAACACATTTTTGGATAGTGTATAGTAGCAATTATGCTCACAAAATATATGTACACTTCTGTAGTTGCAATTAGTGTCAAACCCTATACAAGTTTATATTAAGCTAAGCAACCTATAGGTATCATTACCAAGGTTTGACTTGATAATTTTGAATAAATTGAGCATTTAATACATTTTTATAGATAAATTAATATATTTGTAATATTATTGGGATATTACAAATATATTAATTTATTAATAAGCAACCTATAGTTTGCAGTATATAGGTTTAGTGGTGCTACAAAATCCCTAAATATATTTAGTTTTTTAAGATAGTGTTTCAAGATGGTAGTACTAATTTTATCGCCATCCAAATGTCAGCACAACAGAGAGTAGAAAACTCATTTCTTTCTATAGAGAAGTTTTCATGCAGTCGACTTTGGGGCCTCTTTTGAAACATCCCTGTCTATTGCTCTTGGATGGCAGGGTTGTTTTCAAGAAGTACGAGTTCGATAGTAATCCCCTGATGTTTAAAAAGAGACGTTACTTGCTGTAGAGTATCCCTTTTGAATATGCCGTATACCACATTCATGATTCTCATGGTATCCAGAAGTCTTAACGAACGGAACATTAACCTACTTTGTTCACATGGTGCAGTGAAGACTCATCTGCTATCAAATAAGCCTTTTGATCACTAGCTTGAGATTTAATTATTAATTAATGCACGTTAATTTTGTTACAGTTGGACACCGAAAATACATGTTTCATGAAAGTAAAGTAATAATATTGTGAAGAACTAAATGAGGGAAGGAAATCACGATCAAAAAATGAAATAATAATTAGTGGACAATGACAATAATAACGTTTAATATGAGATACAGTTCTGTTAAAAATACAATTAATATGGAGATTATCTTTTTTTATGAAGAATGTTAAAAACACTACAGAAGGATCACCACTGGGAGGTTTACTGAACTATATTTAGTAACGTATCAAGACACTAAACTCTACCTTCTCTAGGACCCTAACTGTGGAGCTGTGATGGACAGGAACCCTCAGTTATAGACAGCTTTCATACCGCGGTGCTATGTCATAAATTAACTACCTCTACTTTGTTAATCTAGTCACAGCATCAGGAATTAGTACGCGATATGGGAGCCACTGGTATACGTTACTTAATTAAGGCATAGAAGTCAGTATTTTATGATAGTGATACTGATCAACTTATTGTCACTGAACCCGAACAGATTTCCGAACCTTTTGATTACTAACATAGTGATCTCCGGCTGTGAGCTATCCTTCAGTGATAACGATATTGGAAAACAAAGCCCTCGGACGTCCTCAGGTGAGAGGGCAATGGTCATACATGCATTGGTCAAAGTTGTTCTGATTAGTGCACCGTTGTCTCGACTTAATATTGCACCAAAGATGGTCCAAACTACCATGATCCTTTCTGGATTTTAATGTGCGTAGATTAATTTTATCTGTCAAACTATCACCAACACTCACACAAATACTTAGATGTACGAACGTTCCTGTACTACATCCTTATATACAATCTTTTTTTTATACATTACCACCACTGGATTAACTACTTCTCTGAATCCTGTGTTCATCTTGCTGTGCTAATGAGGTATGACGACTTGAACCGATGCATATATATGCCTGGTCCTACGTTGTAGCTGACTGACGAACGTTTCCACCACTTCTGGACGATCGTTACAAAACGATTTCGGGTACAGGCTTCTGCTCGTCTTATTGAAATACTTTGGATTTATAAGGTAAGAATACCATGGCATATTTACGGACACTGATTACCAACTGATAGGTTGCTTATCATCTCACAATAAACCAATGTCATACGTCTACTCATTTTCGCAATAAACAGATCCGCACCACTACGTACTTCATTCAAAGTTGTTCCCAGAATGTCATCGATAACAAAACTAGTGAGGGAATGACAAGATTGTACAACTTCCTCTAATCCCGCTTCTGACCTCTCTCTTGTGTTTGGACTCCTAAATAGTATACAGTTAATATGACCAAACAAAAGTCAATTATAAACTATGCAGGTGCGGGTTAAAATAACATCCTATTAAGTATCTGAATGGCGACATAATTGTCACTATTGAATTATGCTTACACAAACAAAGTCTTCTAGTAAATAAAGTTGTCTGTCGTATAATTTATTGGATTGTTTGTTTTAACGGTTTCATCACTGAATCGCTTAAAGTAAATCACCTATCACTAACGAAGTAGATAATACATGTTGTTAGCTTTATCCTTTTTTCATACTATGTGGTACTTTTACAAGCATGAATAAATCTCTTTTTACAACTCATAAGTATTAAAACCCTTTAATTGTTATGCAATTTCTGTTACTCTCTTTTTGTTTCTTCCATCCATACATACACAGTTAGTGCTGATGATGAATTTTCTGAGTCTGAATTGATAGATGAAGTGGTTGAATCTGTTCCTGTTTCTAGTCCATGTAAGTCGATTTTGTCACTATGCGTAAAATTCTATGCTTCGCCATAGGAAAGTATTTGTCTATTTATGTCAAATTTATTATATGCTATGTGAAGATTTATGTTAGAAGACTAGTGAAATACTATCCTGTTATGTAAATTGAAGTCGTTGGCTTATGGTTGAAACTTGCAACATGTTAGTTGTGAAAGTCAAGGGCTTTAATTAATAAGCCTTGCTTTGCATAAAATGCCACTCATATATACAAGAACTTGTCTAACAATAGATACTTTCAATTGTAGTACTGTTTTATCATCTATTGAACGTTAAATATCTGATTAGAGGGCATTCAACCACTGGAATGATTTAACTAGCTGGCAGGCTGGTTAGTGGAGTCTAGTATGATAGATCTAACATGATTGTACTATATATATGAAATTTTTTATGATGCACTGATAAGCATTTTTTCTTTTATCTCTGTTATTATCATAGTCAGTTATGAGTTTCGTATTTCTGTAATTTTTTTTCAGTCACACTGTACAATCCTATCATACTGGTTATCAGCATAATTGTTTTGATTATAGCTATTCTATTAGCATATTACTTCGTTACACAATCATACCAATCAAAAGATTTCATACCTCCACCATTGCCTAAGGAAATGTGATCATCAACTAAACCACATTACTACTAATATTATTATTTTATTCTACAAATATAAACAAAATTATCATCCATTTTCCAATAATTTACTCTATATCTAATAACATGTGTAACTTCGTTTATTTTGATATGTCCAACAATCCAACCCATCATTTCTGTATTTATTTCTAATTATTATTCAGTTATTTGTGTATTTGATAAAGAGTTGAACAGACGAAATTCCCCAAAATTATTTTTCTCTTTCGCTTTTCATATGTCACATACACACGAATAGGTCAAAATGCTCACAAGTTTATTTTGTTCAATATGTGCTGTGAGCTGAACTGGTTTCCTGATTGTTATTAATTTTTATTTTGTAAATTTCTTTACCCCTCTCCTCTTTTTAAAAGTAGAAGTTGCGCATAATGACAAAAATGCAGTGTGTTGTAAAAGGTAAATTTATTGTCCAGTCAGTGTGTAAAAAACTACACTGGTGATTTTTTCTCAAATAATATATACAAACGAGTATACTTCATATTTTCTTAGCATGACTGTGTGTATATGTGCGTGTACCCGTGTACGTTCGTAGATAAAAAATCGCATCACTCTTCTGTTTTTATTGGGATTGGCTTAGCACAGCTACATGGATTACTATTTGGTATACCTTGATTCATATTCATATTTTCCACTTTACTAGGCAAATTTCTCAACTGAAAGTCCTCTATAAATACATACACACAAACTTACACATCCTTAACTAAATATTGTGTCATTTTCTTGTACAAAATAAAATTCTTTGTGTTTGCTTGGTTAACAAACAAAACCTTTGGACAAAAAAGAGTGTACGATTTTTCTGTTTAATTGTTAATATCATTGTTATTATCAGTTTTAAAGTTGTTTATTTACATTATTTTCGAGTGATAAACTGATCCTATTTAATCTACTGGCTTTTTATTTTCAATATGAATTATATTTGAATTGTTTATTTATAAATATGTGCGTGTGTACGCATCATAAACTATTGAGTAGTTGTTACATGTTATTTTTTTGAAGATAGATACTCGTTTCACTGTTTAGTGTTTTGCGCAAGATAATAAATGAAGGAGATAGAACCAAAGGAAAACAATGAAATAAAAATATTTCATTTGTAGTTTCTCTTTTTAAACTTCTCTGTTGCATTGTGTTTGTCTGTTCAAGATTAATATTCTTTCTTTTGGAATGATTGCCAGATGATAATGTTTGTATTGGATTTGATGTGAATTTTGTTGATGATTTATTTTCAAGTTTTTCTGGACTTTTTTCTTATATAACGTAAGTGATTATTTATCGTTGGTTGTCTTCCCAGTTTATTGGATGTCTACCTAAACTATCATTCATCACACAGCCCATATATTAGCCATTTTTGTGGTGTATACTATGTAGTCAGCCATTTGACCTGTTATAACATCTATATTTTGGACTTAATCAACACAGTAGTTACAACTAATGGATATTCTACTGTGATGTACAATATTCATCATATGATGTGATTTCTAATCTGGTTGTGCTACAGTAACAAGTATGAACACTCATCTGTCACTATGTCTTCATGTCAACATGAAAGGAATGCTATTTTTGGATTTGATAACAAGAGAAAAAGTTTGAAGTTATTTCTCTATTAAAAGAAAAGGAGATTTATTACAAGATACATGTAAATAAAGTGTTAGATTTTTCTCATCTAATTATCTATGACATAAGAAATTCTCGTAGTCTTGAAATGGGATATAAAGTGAATTTTGTAGTTTTGCAAATCTCATATTAGACATTAATTAAAAACGTTAAATTTAAGGTAAATTGTTGGACAGTCTTAATTGAATTTACAAAGTCGTTGTTTACATTATTTTGATCAGTTGGTTGTTAGTAAGTTGGGATGCCGTTGTAAGGTTTGATTTACCGTGGGAAGTATGTATAATTGAATCTGGCCGCATACCACATATACCCGTTGAATAAACATTACGGTGACGTCTCGGGCTAAATAAGTTAACTTATAAGTATTGGTTAGCTGGATCATCTTACAAGTCTGATCAATCTTATATTCAAAGGGTTACAAATGTGCAATTTGTTCATTCCCTAGCTTTATCGTTTTATTAATATTAAATAAATAGGTAACAGAGGTTGTCAGAAATTTCTATTTTTCAATTCAGATGTTCTGAGTTCATTGGTGATATTGGCTCCCTAATTAATCAAGACCTCTGAATGTCAAAAAAATTTGAAATTGAGTATCCATCAATTGTGATACAAAAGTATTTTTCATTCCAGAAAATAATTAGATCAACCTGTCTATTTTAGTTTAAGCTTATCAGATTGCTCAACTCTCGCAGGATTGGATTTATATTATTTTCATTTTTCATTTAAAAGTTAATGACCTGGAGGCAGGATATGGTTACTACAAATTCAGTTTAAACTTGCTCATGATTAGCGTTGTAGTATTGATTTGAGGCGGCTACAAACAGTCATTTTGATCTCTTAGTTATTTTGCTCCAAAGAATAAGAGTCACCCGGTTTGTCTGTTTGGTAGTGGGTTGTCTTCACTAGCAAATTTTTAACGCTTAGAAGCCTACTTACTAGGTCGTGATATCTTGCCATAGAACTTCCACAAAAGTGTAGGTATTTCCAATTAAGTGTATAAATAGTTTGATTATCAGTTTAATTGGTAATTTAATAATTAGAGACTTGGCTACTGATTCTACAATTTTAACGTATTTTTTTACGGATTTAGTTGTTTTCAATGAATTACAGAATTCGCATTATTTCCAGGTTATTGCATAAAGTGTCAAATTGTTGTGCTTTAAATTTTTAGCTATATACTATCGATAGATATCGGTCACCACTAAGGACTAGACAAAATGACACTGGCCACTATTCGGGGATTGATTAGCGTTAACGTTTCATTTCTGTAAGCATTTAATTGTAGATTGTAGAGCTCAAAGTCGAATAGCAGCATTAAGTGGTGGGCATTCGAGTCTCTGAAGTAGGTATCCACTTTCTCAAGGTTACAAATACGTTTTGTTGACGTGTCGACATCTAGTGCTTGCAACAAGAATAATTCACTACCTGCTGTAGATATTGAAAAAATTCTACCACTGGTGAACCCAAAAAAGAGAACTACGGGTACTTTAGTAGTTAAATTTATTAGTTATGAAGTTATTTTGTTTAAACAATGGAAGATAAAGCATTTATAAAGTTATCCAACGAATTAAGCTGGTTTTTTTATTACAGGAGTTAATATGGAAGTTCACTTTACGATAGTGTCGAAGTTTTCTGTTGTAGAATGTTTCGGTAATTGAAGTGGAAGTACTTGGACAGCGAAGTTGGTCAGGTTAGTCGAGTTCTAAATTCCAAATCCAGCATAGTTTCTCAGCTTATTCTTTATTTAACAGTCAACATATCCTTTTATTATCTTCGGTCTTATTAGCGTGTAATATTATGACATTGTTAGGCATGTTAAGTTCTAAATTCACATAGATGGCTTGTGTAATTTGATCAATCGAATTCTGACAGTATAAATCCTTACACAAATAGCAGTATGTGTTTAAAATTCCTCCCTTTATTGACTTGATAATCTAGCCTATTTCTGTTAAATTATGACTGTTTCAAACATGTACAGTGGAAATAACTTCAAACTACACGTTCACAGAATTGTTGTTGTCTTTGATGAATGTATTTAAAAACAAGCACTCAGTCAAAATTCCTTTTACTCTGTTCTCGTTTTGTTTCAAGTATATTAAGAAGTTTCATAAAAAAATATTAGTCCATAAGATCTGTCATTATTTCTTTTTATTATTTTGTGTTTTCAGATATTTCAATTAAGTAGTGACATGATGATGTTTTTCATTAGTAGACGATAATGTGCTATCAATTATATCAATATGCAAGGATTCATCGACGTTATTTCATTCCTTTTCTTCATATTACCATTTGTCTAGGTGTATTATTGCCTTTATTATTATGTGAATCCGGTGAGTTACACAAAACATATTTATATCTGTTACTATTTATGTGGTTCAATTATAAGTGTACTGATTTCGATTTTAAATTAAAGATGGTACAATTATTTTACTTGTCCATTTGTTCCATCATCTGGATTAGATTGCTTTAAACAATTACAGTTTAAAACCGTCATGTTTTGTGTTGTTAGAGTTCACTAGAGAATAAATTAAATTCAACTTCATTTAACATAGTCATTGTTTATTTATTAGACTAGAAGCTAATGATTACTTTGTAAATGACAGTAAAATCTTTCTGTGTACAATATACCTATAAGTTATTATCATTTTTCTATAGTTGAATTCTTCAATATTAATTAGGTATAGTGTCATAGACAGCAAATCATAACATTAGAATAGAGTTACTGAGTTAATGCGGTTACTTGATCTTTCATAAGGATGTATAGAATCATATTGTCTAGACAAGTATTTATTTATTTATGTTATATCTTGATCTACTTACATCTAGCTTTTGCAAAATTAACAGTTCAATCATAACTCCACCTTTACCAGTCCATGAGATTTTGTTGTTAATTTTTTAAAATAATATTCAGTTGTTTTAGATAAAGAATGAATTTTCCAAATGTTCATATTTCATTAAGTTGAAGTAGGTCATTTTTTGGTCACATTTCTTATTTCTTACATTTGTATTTATCTTGAAAATGTGTTATCATGTCAACTAAGATTATAGTCTAATATAAATTGTTGCAGATTTTATAAGAATATTTATTAACTAAGAACTTTCGTCTAGATTTGATCGGATCGTTTCACAATATTTGGGCTCCGAATTGATGTGTGGCATATCTTATTCGATAATTTTGATGTTTGATTATATTTCCTTGAAAAAGCTTGAACCAGATTGCTAGGCGAAACGTTGAATTTACTTCAAATTCATTCACTAAGACTTTCTACATACATTCTTCCTCTTTAAGAATATCTATTGTTTAGCAAGTTTATTTTTTAAAATAAAATATTCATAATTCTAGTAAATTAATCATTTATTAATCTTTATGAATTATATTATTATTCTTTATGTTATTCATTTTTCAGAACTACATCGAGTTGTTTTCATTGAACAGGATGTCATTCATTTCATATGCTTTTTTACCTTTCTCGCTATTTCGCTTATTACTTATGGTTTGACAAGTTGCATTGATCCAGGCTATCTGACTGCTGAAAAGGTAACAATAAGAGAAGATAATTTGGAAATTGTGGTTATTTTTCACTTTCTTTTTCGAATTTCTACTAGGTGTTATAGATTTATAGTTTGTTCCAGATTATCTCTAATTGGGAGAATTATGGCTACATACTTATTCCTATAATTATTACATTGAATAACTTCTTTATTAGACCTGATTATTTATGATATATTTCGTACTGATTCAACTATACTTATTGCATAGTTAAAGTCCGTTGATGCTGATAAACTACAAATTGATAAATCACCACAAACCACTCATATATATAATACACTTAATACGAAATACCCGGTTAGTGTGGTGCTAAATGACAGGTATATTCTGTGCTTTAGTGAAGTTTGATGTGGTCTTTCAAGATTTTGATGTTTGCTTAAAATTGAAAGTCTGTATTTTACTGTACTGCGCATAAATTAGAGTGCACTTTAAGAATGCTCAGTTCAACAAAATCGAATTTATTCCTTTTTTATTACCTCCATATCATTGTTTGTATTCTGAAATCGTTAGAAATTAGTCCGATTTTCTAAATGTTTTTTTTTAACTTCTGTATCATTTCTGTATGCATGTTTTGTGTACACATGGAAGTATAATCATGTGCTGTTTATCTTTTGTTTCGATTATTTTTATGTCGATTCGTTTCGTCTCTTCAAAGGCTAGATGGTTTCGACATCGACGTGGTCATATCTCGTTAGCTAGTGATTCTGGTGATGAACGACCTATGTATGTTAATGAATATGATACCGATATAAATTATAAGAAATTGACATTAGACCAGAATCATTCACATTTAGAATCATGCTTTCAACGTCAACGTGATCGCTCTGAAACTCAATGTACAATCGAAGAAAATAACACTGTTCAAACAAAACCAAATAAATTCTCTATGAATTTGAAAAAGGATTGGCCAAATAATTTATGCTCTAAAATGAATGCAGATTGTGAAGTTCTGGTTAATTTATCTATTCCTGTAAGATTCTGTAATCATTGTCTTCTAGAGGTAAGACTATTTCTATTAATATAGGATTTAATTCACATGAGAAATGATTGTCATGTTTCATTGTTTGTTCTTCATATTTAATCATATTCTACTGTCGGTTGATGCATTGTTCATTATAGAATAGGTTTCTTCACTTTTATTAGTTACTTGTCTACTTAGGTGATTGAAGTTAGATAGTGACGAGAAGTGGAATGCAGAATGCCTATTTCGACCTATTTGGGAATTATCAACTGCATGTACCTGGATCCCAGTGTTGGTAATCCCTCAATGAGATTCCAACCTATTATCTTTTAGATGCAATTAACTCCAGCTCACGAATCCAAAATATGATGAAATGCGCATCTTGGGTTCTACTTCTAATTTGTATTCAGTTTTATTAAAAACTTGTAACTATATATATATATATATCAATATAGTCTGATCAGCGACAATCCTTTATATTAACTAGGGGAAGTTATAAATTCTTAATAATACCTAGATGACAGTTCATTTTTAAAACATTCGTGAACTTAAGTATAAAAAAGTGAACCAAGTTAGCATAGTTTAAATCACGAAGTGATCTTGGCTAGACCATCATTGATAGCGAGGAAGTGCTGCATAGCTATCCTGTTTTGGTTTGCGACCCAGCCTTGGGGATTTTAGATACTATCGGTGATCAAACTCCAGACCTGTCTCGCTCGTGAACAAAACCTTTAAGTCAATGATCCAGCATACTATGGTCTATATTTCTAATCCAACTTACTTAACTTTTGCGTGGCAATACGAAAAACAAAGGAAACTGAACTGAATTTATCATAAAAGTAGAACTAAGTTAAACAGTTTGTGAATATTTTCAAGTTCTAAAGATCTTTTCAAATGAAAGCTTTGAGTACATCCAACCGTAGATATTTTCTATCTGAATGAATTCCAAATAGAAAGATAAAAGATTTAACTCCTGTTAGACTGAAAATTGCAGTTAATTCATGTATTAATTTGATTATGTTAAATTTACTCAGTATCGAAATTTCTTTCTAACTAAACCCCCACTTTGTTGTATATACAGTGTTTGATTTCATGTATACAACATCTACAGACTAGAAACCGTATATCTCTACAATATTCTGAAAGATATTCTTTAATTAACACAATGATATATGTATTCTAGTAAGCGTAAGCAGTTTGTGGAGGTTGTATTCATGTTATTCACTCATTGTCAATTCGATATCCGTTTTGTATTCGAACAGTAACATATAACAAATGTTGCCATGAAGTAATTAGAATTGACATACAAGTTCAAGCGAATTTCCTAAAACAATCGTCTTCAGATTTCTTCATAAAAAGTTTATCGTTTTGATGTGGTATCGATTTTGTACTAAGTTACAAACCTCATTCTGTCAAGATGTCTTAAGTTCAACCATATATTACTGAGCTATATTCAACTGTATCATGATAAAAGAAAGAGGATTCTAACTATCTTTTAATGACAATATACGAGGTATATGAAGTCACCAGAATTCTTTATTATGATTTATGATTAACCTAGATGATCTTTTGGGCATTATTAATTGGCGAAATTTGAAAACCATTAAAAGCCAGCAAACATAGAATATGCTACCCAGTTGGAAGTAGTCCACAGAAAACCCTGAAATTAAGCTTCCGACTAGTAAATAGCCTTCATGTATTTTTAATGTTGTATTGGTCAAGGCAACTATCCTTGTACTTCTTAGTTTTCAATAGTTTCCAACCAGTTGATATCAGTCTCATGATAGAATCAACTCCAAATCAATCATTAGCATTCTACTGACTAATTTTATAATTTAACAATTATAGTATCAATAGTGTTTTTTAATTTTATAGTGTATAAGCCTTTTTATTCTCAATATCTACCATCTTGTCAAATTCATATAGATATATACACCCAATATATGTTTCTTAGTACATTATAGTGCTTCTTTTTTCAACATATCACATGAATTGCTCTCAGTGAAAGTACTTCGATCCTATTGACTCCTAATTTATTACTATTATTATATTTATTATTATTACTATCATCTGAAGAGATGGCATGCATAAGTTATATATATATATACCGAATGTTGTATTATCTTTGTTCATTTTCATATTTGTATTGACTAAGGGAAGGGGGCGTGAATTTATCTAGAGTACTTCATTTTATTTGTTTTATTTCTAGATTAACAATGACACTGTGTATATATGATTAATGTTGTTACAAGTTGGCGTTCATTTATTGATTTAGGTGAAGAAGTAGTCTTATAGAAAAATAATTCTTAGAATAACAACTCATTACAATAAGTATTTTATTATCTGCTACTTATACTTACTTCGATCGAGATAAAGTACAATTGATATTATCTCAATGATGCGTTAAATAATGATCATAGACAACCAACTTACTTAGACCCCAGTTATTAGAAAATAAACACTTAATTTTTGTCGGTCTAAGGGTTGTGGAGATTGTTAAGTTTTTGATTGAAATCATGAACCGATTGATGTTAGACCATCCGCGAGCGGGATCGTGGATGGGCACTTCTGAGGAGTCCCACAATAGGACGAAACGGCTGTCCAGTGCTTCCAGGTTTTCAACCATGGTCTAGCATAAATCGGTTCATCATCTCAATCAAAAACTAAAATTTTA